TTACGCTCGCTTTGTGCTTGCGCAGGCCCCTCCTTTTCTACCCCCTCCCCCCCTCTAACCCCCCCTTCCCCCCTTCCCCCCCTTCCCCCCCCCTACCCCCCCAACACCCCCCCCACCCCCTCTTCCCCCCCCGCGGGGGTGATTTCCCCGGCCCCCCCCTACAGACCACAACCCCCGGGCCAATTGCTAATACAATTGGAAAATGAAGAGACTAGCTCTATGCACCAATCTTAATTCTTTTTTACACTTTTTATTAACTGATTTGAGTTGCACACTTATTATATAAGAAGAATTAAATAATACTAAATAAAATTAAATAGTTTTAATCAATTGCTCTTCAAAAAATCCATTTATTTTTTGTTAATTTTTCTCTTAAAAACTGTTATATGATTTAATTCTCAGTTGCGATTATCTTTTCTCTCAGGCCCGGTGGCGTAGTGGTTAACTACGCTATCATGAAGCCTCAATTGACAGTCTTTTCTCTGAGAAATGAATGTTAAGAGAGAGTAGGTTCAAACTCTGTAAGAGTTATCTTAATCACAGCTTTCACTGTTAAATTATAAAACAGTATCAGAAGCTCTCAGATACACTATAGTAAATTATTATTAAGTTTAAGATATTTATTCTGAGAATTTCTGAGTATTAATTCTTACTAATCTTAGAATTAACTGTCTCTCAGATACTTTAAGTTAAATCAGTATCAGAGTAATTAAGATCTAGAATATCTATAGAATAGTAAATTATTATTAAGCTTAACTAATCAGATTTTATCTTTCTCACTCTAAATACTCACTTTTAAAGAATTGAAATTTAAAAACTATCTGATTAGAACACTTTGAGTCTAGTAAGAATTTAGATAAGATAAGATTTAAATACTCTTAATAGATAATTAGTATAAGTAAGACTGTGATAGTTAATTAATAGACTGAAATACTAAGATTAATAGTTAAAAGATTAAAGACTTAGCTAGAATTAAGTAGCTCTGATATTATTCTTAGTAAGAATCTTATTTATAAATAAGCTAGTTATAGAAGCTAGCTGAGTAGCAGCTCTTTAGAGAGAATGATAATCTCTGAAGTGAGTCTGAGAGAACAGAGATAATAATCAGTTGTATACAGTGTTAAAATATGTATATAGCTTAAGATATAAACTGCAGAGATTTTATTCTATAGTTTTCTTTTCTATTCTTTTCTATTTACTTATTTAATATATTTATTATTATTATTATTATTATTCTTTTATTATACTTATATACAAGTGAAGCTTATAATGAGTTCTTATATAATGTTAAATACAGACTAAGTGTTAATTATACAGAGGAAAATACAGATGTTGAAATTATACTAAGATAATAAGAACATAGAAAATACAAAGAATTGACAATTAAATACATGTAATAATAACTTCTCAACTCAGAAATATAGAGTAATTTACTGAAGTGATTTATACATCTCTGTATTTATTAGAAACCTGAGATACTTGAGTTCTGAATTTAATGTATTCTCTACAGGTTTTAAACTCACATGTCTTGATTTCCCATGCTAAAATGCTATCAGATGACTGTATTAATTATTCAGTCACTGAGACAGATTAATATATCTATCTTTAAAACTTTGTTCTCTTTTCTTTTGTCATGATATTTCTAAATGATTTCAAAGTATCAGAAGATGTTAAAATTCTGCATGTAAGAAGCCTACACTGAATAGATTGATATAGTATTTATAGGTCTTATATAATAAAGTGAAAAATATTAGAGAAGAAAAGAAAGAGAAAGTGTGAGAATCAGTGATTGAAGTGAATATTTATATGCATACATAATGATGTACACAGTAAAACTTCAGAATGAAAGAATAGAGGTTTTTGTACATAATGAAGCTTCAGAGTGAAAGAATAGAAATTCTGTAAATTTTCAGCTGAGAATCAGCAACTGAGAATCAAAGTAATAGAAATTTGTGAAGTGTAACAGAATAGTCTATATAATTGATCAGATACAGTCTGCTACATTAGTTTCTTCTCTCTTTCTTAATTGTACATACCTCTCATCAGTCAAGAGCTGCAGTCTCAGATAATATAAAACTCAGAGTTCAGATCAGACAATTATAGCTAACTCATTTTATAAGATATTATTAGCTGCAGCTGTGAGATCTCTTATCAAGAATATCTTCAATCTCTTATTTAAGTTTGTTATCTTCTTCTATGATCTCTAACAGCTGTCAGTTGAAAGTCAGTTGAGAAGAGAACAGATCAGTGACAGCATAGAAGAGTAAGTTTGTATAAAAGATATTATGAATCTCTGATAATGTGTTAAGATAATAGTTATAACTGCTCAGAACTTCTATCACTTTACACTTTATATAACAGTAATTCAGTGTGTAAGATGAGTATATGATTTATATATTCTTAAGATTCAATTATATCAGATCTTTTATCTTATATTACTTAGTGAAGTCTTGATAAACATTGATTTAATCTTCTTAATTCTGTTTAGCACTTATTATAAAGACTTCTGCTTAATCACAGATATCTTAGAGTTTTATTACTATATTATCAGTGATGAATCAGACTGCAGAGATCCAGTGTAAAATATATAATCTTCTAGAGATCAGTACTTTATATATATCATATATGAGAAAGACAGACTTATATCTGTTGAAATGACATCTCAGTCATTGATAGTGACTTCAGTGTGTAGAAGAAGATCATATTAATTATCTTATAAATAATTACAGAACTTATAAAGATAATTCTTTATAATCTGAATTATCTGTTCTGATGCATTATCAGTCTCAGAGTGATAGATAGTTAATGAACAGTGTATAATCTTAAGAACTTGACAGATTCTTATTCAGAGAGTGCTTATAAATTAATAACTCTGCTCTGATACTATAGATCTCAGTAATTTATATATTTAATAGAACAGACTTTTTAGAAAAGCTTCAGTAACTTATTCAGTATTCATCTTATTACAAGATTTCAATATTACACTCTTACTCAATCAGTTTATAATAATCAGAATATTTCCATAATTCTTACTCTCAGAAAGATTAACAGTAAAGTTAATTATCACATCTTATCAGATTCTATCAGAGATATCAAGCAGTTTCAGCAGATCTTTTCTACAGTTCTTTCATAAGATGATGAAGAAACAATAGTTACAGTTTCAGATAAAATATCTGATACTGTTTAATATCTCAGATCAGTAGAACTTTCAAGAGATTATTTAATACAGTTATTCATAACCTGAATAATCAGTTATATAAGAGTCACACATCTCTTGCATTATTCAGATGTGTAAGAATTCAGAGTGAGAGTGTGACAGACTGCGCCCGATCAATTATATAGACTATTTCATTACACTTCACAGATTTCAATCACTTCATTCTTGAACATGTACACTCCGATTCTCAGCCATTCTCAATTGCTGATTCTCAGCTGCCACGAACGCGTATAGATTCTCTGCTTCATTCTTGAATGTGTATGCTTCAATTCTCAGCCATTCTCAATTGCCGATTCTCGGCCGCTATGAATGTGTATAGATTCTTCCACCCTGAAGCCCCACTGCATATGCCATCACATACATGTATAAATATTCACTTCAATCACTGATTCTCACACTTTCTCTTTCTTTTCCTTCTCTAACATTTTTTTCTTTGTTATATAAGATCTATATATTATATCAATCTATTCAGCATAGGCCTCTTACACTAGAAAAATGTTCATTGTCTTCTTATTAGAAATGATTATTCACATATTATCTTCTCATTAGAAATGATTATTCATTGAAAGATATCTGAACACATAATGACATGTAAGAAAGAGAAACAGTTAAGTAGACACTAAGTTCTCAGATAGAAGGTTACTCATCAGTCACTCTGACTCTGTAATAAGATTTTACCAGAGAATATCAGTGAAAGATCTGAGAGTTCTGACACTCAGATATATAAGATATTCATATAATTACACTTCTTCAGATTTCACAGATATCACACATCTGATAAATGATATAATCATGTCTAATGATAATATGAGAGAACTCTCAAGCATGAGTATAGATGTGATATCACAGTGACTCTGAGCAATGTTAAAACTATAATAACAACAGATAGCTGATATGCATGTCACTCAACAGCTTCAATATGAAGAAATTCAATGATTAACTCATGCAACTTCAGCATCTATAAAAGCACTGAAAGAATGCTTAGATGCCTCTGCATATTTGAATACTTCTGATCTCACTCTCTACTCATCATGAAGAGTGAAAATGCTCATGAAACTGAGTGTGAATGAAGATATCATCAGTTCACTAATCAATCAAGGTTGATATATCAATGAACAATTGAAGAATCACATAAAACAGAAGTTTCATTCATGAATAAAAGCATGTGAATCAGTGTTGTGAACATCTGATAATATTATCAAATATCTTGATATTCTGTTCTGAGACACTGTTATACAACAGAAAGTGTTAAATTGATTACAGAGTGTCTGACAGAGAAATACTTCTCTTATAACATTTATCTCTGACTTTGATATTAAAATCTTAGAAGCAGATAGTCAATCTTGAAAGAATTGAATAAAGATTAGTATGCTTAAGAAGATATTAACTTTTGAACTCTTACAGATTCTCATAAGTGTAAACAAAGACTTAACTTATGAAGGCTTCTGCACACAGCTCTGAACATTGAATGACTATCTTATCAAGCTCAAGAGTATACAGAACAGTGATAGAAGATGTTACATCTCAGTCACTTATACACCTGCACTGAA